ACAAACACAAACACAAAAACAAAAACAAAAACAAACACAACAGCACAGCAAGAGACTCTCTCTCTCACACACACACACACACACACACACACACACACACACACACACACACACACACACACACACAGACACACAGACACACACACACACACACAACCAGAGCTACAAACATAAAATGATCCATCTGATATTTTAATCAATGATCAATAATCAATAATCTCAGTCCTTTTAAAAAAGGAAAAACAGAATTTTCTGAAATGTGAAATTTTCTTCTGAAAACTGAAAAAACTGAATGGATGAAAAATCAAACGTCAGACAGAAAATAATAAAAATAATAAATGTAATTAACTGTGAAACAAAATGTAAAAACTGAAAGTTAAAGTGACTAAATGTTTTTATTATTTTACCTTTTTAAATCTGTTATTGAATCTTATTCTCTGATTTTTCCTTTCAGCTCATCAGTCTGAACCGCACTCACCTGTACAGGTGCTGTACAAATAAAGTTTGACTGATTGATTGATTGATTGATTGATTGATTGATTGATTGATTGATTGATTGATTGATCGATCGATCTCCAGGAGTGAAGCAGATTTAATGACAGACTGATCATCATATAAAATATTAAACACACTGATCATCTCTCATTTTAATAGAGATTTACAGCTGTTAATAAAAGACTGGAGGTTTATGATGTATTAATATATGAATATAAATATAATAACAATAATAATAATAATAACTTTGTTATTATTGATAATAATAATATGGGTGTCAGGGAACAGGAGCGCTGTCCGTCAGCTCTGTGGTTTAAACAACAGACTTGAAGAAAAGACAAATGATCTGATCAGTTTGTGAAACGTAGGAAAGTGAGAGTGACGGTGTCTCAGTGATGATCAATACGTCTGATCAGTGAGGCTTCAGTCTTTAGTTTCAGCTGATGAACAAGTGATTGGTTTATTAATTAATCAGTATTAATAATTGATCAGTTGTTTTGTCTCAGATTCATTTTCCTGCTGAGGAAGGAAATGGAAAATATTTCGACTGATCGATTAATAGTTTTGAGGTTTTATTCTGTTGCTTTGTGTTTAATGTTGAATCTGTGTGTGTGGAGAAGTGATGGATGGACTGATGGTTGCAGCTGGACAGATGAGTACAGATGTTTACAGGTGTGGACAGATGAGTACAGATGTTTACAGGTGTTCACGGAGCTGCAGCTCAGTCTCCCTCCTCTCACTCACCGGCCTCGCTCTTCGTCTCGGCCTCGTCGTTGCTCGTCTTCATGGGCTCCTCGTCCTCGTCATTGCGCTCCAGGTCGATGTTGTCCTCGTCCTCCTCGTCCTCGCTGCGGTTCCTGGGCGTCCAGGTCATCTTGTTCTCCTTCTTCAGCCGCCGGCGGGCGTTGGCGAACCAGGTGGACACCTGAGTCAGGGTCATCTTGGTGATGATGGCCAGCATGATCTTCTCCCCCTTGGTGGGGTACGGGTTCTTGCGGTGCTCGTTGAGCCAGGCTTTCAGCGTGGCCGTGGCGTCCCGCGTGGCGTTCTTCCTGTAGGCGGGGTCTCCGTACGGGTAGGGCCCCAGGCCCCCAAACGGGTGGAAGTCCAAGGAGCTGGAGATGCCTGAGGACGGGTCGTAGCCTGGACTCTGGAACAGGAAACAACAATTATTATTTATGATGAAATTATTATTATTATTAAATTATTATTATTTATCATCAACATAAAAACAAAGTGATTTTATAAAAATTTCAAGGTCGGTTTTTATTTTTCACTTTTTAAAAAAAAAATATTTTCTGACTGCAAGACGTGTGAGTGTGTGAGTGTGTGTGTGTGTGTGAGTGTGTGTGTGTGTGTGTGTGTGTGTGAGTGTGTGTGTGTGTGAGTGTGTGTGTGTGTGTGTTTCTTGGCAGCTCTCTCTGAGCAGCAGCTTCTTAATCTTAATGGGACTAACGTGGTTAAATAAAGGTTGAATTAAAAACCAAACAGACAAACAAAATTTAATTTGCACAGTTCAGTTAAAACACGTCATTTAATCACATTCTGTGATATTTAATATTTAAACACAGTTCTTTAATTTATAAATGAATAAAAGATAAAATGTTTTCACATCTCTCCAACACAATAATATGCAGTTGAATTAAACTCATTTCTAAAGATCACAGAAACAAAAAAACATTGAAATTAAAAATCAAACGGATGAAAATAAAATTTCAGCTGCTGAAAAAATATTTAATGAGAAAAATAAACAATAATTTGCAACTGAAGTTTTTTAATTTAATGTAATTTTTGTTTAGATAAATGTTCATCTGCTCAGAAAAGACTGCAGCTGTTTTATTATTATTATCACAATTATTACCAACATTTACTCATTTATTTATCATTATTATTAATGTGTGGTTATTATAAACTCAATGATCAACACGTTCTCCAGTAAAAACTTCAATTCTTTCTCTGTAAAACTTCTAATAAATCATTTCTGTCACTGAAGAGACTTGATGATGAAACTCTTCTTTACAAAAACTCACTGTTTTATTTTTTTAGCCGTTAAACTTGACGACGCGGCTTCTCTGAGATTCTTTTTCGCGCCGTTTCGCTCCAGCCCTGACACCTGCTCATCTTCCCGCCTCATGAAGCAGGTGAGCTGAGCGGTTCCGACCCGGTGCGGACACTCACCACGAAGGAGTTGAGCGTGGCGGCGGCCCGGGGCTCCCCGCCGTACGGGAGGTGGGAGCTGAATCCGGGAGACGTCGCTGGTCCCGAGTACGGCGCGAAGGCAGAGCCCGAAGAGGAGCGGCCCAGCTCCTCCGTCCGCGGGCCTAAGATGACCCCGGAGCCGAAGGACGGGCAGGAGTGCAGAGCCAGAGACACGGACGGCTGGAAGAGGAAACCCTGAGGATAAGCCATGATGGCGCGCACGGAGCCGAACTACTGCGCGCGGGCGAACTCACATCGGAGAAGAAAGCGCGCGTCGTTTCCCCGGGACGGCGGGAGAAAGAGACGAGGAGGAGGAAGAAGAGGAAGAAGAAAAGGAGGGAAGAGGAGTTTTAACAGCGGAGCGCCATCCGGGAGCATCGCAGGTGGCTGCCCGTTCAGTTTGTGTTTCTGCTGCTGCAAGTTTCCCGCCGCTCCCGCTGCTGCTGAACTGATCACTCTGAACCCCGCCGGCAGAGAGAGAGGGAGGGGGGGGAGGGGGGGGGGGGGAAGAGAGAGGGAGACAGAGAGGGAGACATGGGGGAGAGAGGGGGGGGAGAGACGAGGGAGAGAGGAGGGGGGGGGGAGAGAGGGAGAGAGAGGGAGGGGAGAGGGGAGAGAGAGAGAGGGAGACAGAGAGGGAGGGGAGGGGGGGGAGAGAGAGAGGGGGGAGACAGGAGAGGGAGAGAGGGGGGGGGGGATAGAGAGAGAGGGAGGGAGGAGGGGAGGGGGGGGGGAGAGAAGGAGAGGGGGGGGAGCATCTCTCAAGAGAGATGGGAGACAGAGGGGAGAGAGAAGGGGGAGAGGAGGAGAGAGAGACAATCTCTCAGAGAGAGAGGAGAGAGAGGGGGGGGAGGGAGAGAGAGGGAGACAGAGAGGGAGAGAGGGGGGGCGAGAGGGGGGAAGAGAGAGGGAGACAGAGGAGAGAGAGAGGGGGAGAGAGGGAGGGGGGGGGGAGAGAACGAGAGGGAGAGAGAGAGGGAGACAGAGAGAGAGGGGTGGGAGGGAGAGAGGGGGGGGGAGAGAGAGCATCTCTCAGAGAGAGAGGGAGACAGAGAGGGAGAGAGAGGAGGGGGAGAGAGAGCATCTTTCAGAGAGAGAGGGAGAGAGAGGGGGGGGGAGAGGGGGAGAGAGGGGGGGGGAGAGAGAGAGGGGGAGAGAGAGAGAGGGGGGGGGAAGTCACTGTCAGCTCCACCTCCCACAAACACTCAGACTTTTTCTCCTCTCCTGCTGTTTTAAACAATGGAGCCAAAACACACAATTAAAACAATATTATAACATGATATATCATGACTTTTCCCCAGGGATCTATATATCTATCATCTATCATCTATCATCTATCTATCAGTCTATCTATCAGTCTATCAATCTATCAGTCTATCTATCAGTCTATCATCTATCTATCTATATATCTATCATCTATCATCTATCAGTCTATCTATCAGTCTATCTATCAGTCTATCTATCAGTCTATCAATCTATCAGTCTATCTATCAGTCTATCTATCATCTATCAATCTATCAGTCTATCTATCTATCATCTCTCTATCATTTATCTATCTATCATCTATCTATCAGTCTATATATCTATCTATCATCTATCTATCAGCCTATTGATCTATCTATAGCTGCAGTGTGATGAACCTCAGAATAACCTGTT